GAGCCTACTACTCACTAGGTTGTCAATTCACCATTTGTAGCCCTGTGTGTGTGTGTGTGTGTGTGTGTGTGTGTGTGTGTGTGTGTGCGTGTGTGTGTGTGTGTGTGTGTGTGTGTGTGTGTGCGTGCGTGCGCACGCGCGTGTTTGTGTGTGTGTGTGTGTGTGTGTGTGTGTGTGTGCGTGCGTGTGTGTGTGTGTGTGTGTGTGTGTGTGTGTGTGCGTGCTTGTGTGTGTGTGTGTGTGTTCCCTCTAACCCCCCCTGGCCGGCAGTGTTATTATGGAAGAACTCTCTCTACAATGTCGTATTTATGGTCATTGTAGACAGCTTTAGTCCGGGAGTTAGAAAGTAATAGCTCTATTGCAGATCCAGCAACCCATTTCAGAATGTCTGGAGAGTCATGCCCATTCCGAGGTTACTTTCACTTACAATAAGCCCCGCATGTATGCATCATCGTTATCAAATGGAAATTGGTATTACATACACGCTTCCAGGTTCGAAAATATTCTTTTCAAACCTGTCACGTATTTAGCTTATGTTTTTTTTTTTAATTCTGAAGTGTATTTGGGCTGGTCTTACCATGTTAGTTTGATCCTCCAATGGGTTCCGTAGTTTTGATTTTGTCTTAGCTTTGCATCTCATTTGGTGATGCACTTTTGTCTTCATAATACTTCCTTCAACGAACACAAATTTGCATTGTCATGGTCATCTGCGAGGAGGTTCGCGTCTATTGCTTTTCCCAGGAACAGTTCGCGGCCACCAACTACCACCCGTCCAGTCTTGGGCGTATCCAGCGAGGCATCTTTCATATTGCTCGCAATCTCCGACACCGGCGAGAGACCAGCAGCCGAGCATTTTTGCAAGCGGAAAACTTGCTGATTCACGGCAACGTCGGCCACCGAATCACCACCAAAACTCGCGACGGACACATCATCAACACGTTCCCGGGCTAATTCACCAACCGGACCGATCTCTCAATAGAACTACACGTCAAAAGTGTAGCATCCAGCTCGGAGAACCGGGCTCCCGGGAGGCAATGAAAACCGACACCGAACAATGGAACTCAAGTTGCGTCGTATATTTTGGAGGTTAGATTCAAGGTCAACCGAGTCGCTCAAGTAAAACACAGGCAAAACACGATATATTACTAAATGATAACTCTATGAACACTTGAAATCAAATTTCAGCACACAAATTAACAAATTTAAAGCAAAAAATGTTTCATTCGCTGACGAAAAATACGCAGCAAAAGAAAAACACGTCAGCTTTCAAGCACGACCTACTGCGATCTCGGTTTGAATTATTCGCAATTTGAGCTAAAATTCGGCCATGTTGAATCTCGCATGAAACTTAAAAATGGCGTATTCGATTTTTTCCAACAAACCATAATTAGAAAATGTCACTTCCGAGACAAAGTTGTGGGAAAAATCAATCCTTTTTAATAAAAAATATATCTTAAAAATCTAAAACTGTTAAGAACATAAATAACAAAAATCAACCCCCATCCATATTGTTTAAAAACTTTGCAGTATAAAGCTTATGAAAAATTCTATCTTCTGTTAAAATTTCAAGTTGGACACAATCATTGAACAGCAACTTGTGGACAAATTTTGGTACTTTTTTTTTCAAACAAATGCTTGTAAAACTTTTCACAGAAAACATTTTTTTAGACTTTTAAAATCGTTTTCTGTTAAAAAAATTTATAAACAGGTTGTCCAAAAATTGATCTTTAATGATCTTTGTTAATTAAAAAAATAATGCAGAAGATAGCGTTTTTATGAGCTTTTTAGTTATTCAAGTTTTAAAAACTTGTTTGGATTTTTGAAGAAAATTACTTGAAATTTTTAACTGTGTATATTTATCCTTAAAAGCAAATATTTTTTTCCATTTAACCCTCTGTTACCCGCGCCAACTTTTGTAACATGAGTACTCGCGCGTTGTACTTAGTACAACAGTGTGAGTTTTCTATTGCCATTTTGCAGCCGAGCTACCAATCGATATGAAACCAACGAGTATTTCTTAAAAAATTGTTTTTAACTAAACATGCAAAATTTTTATCACAGTTAACCCCCGAAAATGCGGATAATAGAGAAAATGTGGATGGAAACCGCGTAAACGGTGTCCGTACTACGTGGAATTTGACTTAATTGGTTACAACATGGAACATCTCGAGATCATGACCAGATAGAAAGCTACTGTCTTCGGCAAAGCTGTTCAGGAGATCATAACCTTTTTGCTGGTGGAGAGTAGTTTAGAATTTTCTAACTACGTAGCGCTAGAATACATGTGAAATTCTCATATAAAATATCTAGAGATCCTGACCAGATAAAAAGTTACTGTCTTCGGCAAAGTTTTTCAGGATGTCAAGATCTTTTCGTTGGTGGAGTAGTTCAGAAAATTTTCACTACGTGGCGCTAGTATATACCTGCAATTTTTGCATATACAATATCTCGAGATCCTGACGAGATAGAAAGTTACTGTCTTGGGTAAAGCTGTTCAGGAGATCATAACTTTTTCGCTGGCGAGCAGTAGTTCAGAATCTTCTCACTAGGTAGTGCTCGTATACATGTTAAGTTCTCGCATGTGATACAGATCTCTAGATAAAAATAATTTGTCCGAAATAGATTAGACACGAAAGAATACATAAATTTTGTACGTGTGTTCGTGGCTAGAATAAATATTTTCCGCGAACACGGTGGCAGATGTCAGTTTTGTGCTTTCATTAGAGATTTTTTTTTGTAATTTGTATGATAATTCATGTCGGTTTGTCGGTGGTAATCCTAGCCCCTATATTCATCTTTTCGATATAAGCATGACGAAATTCTTGATTGTTGCCCCCGTGATCTCTAGCATCTAATACCAGGGTGGTTCACTTTTATTTTCAACTAATACTTCAAAATACACGCATAAATCATAAGTTTCCATAGTTGAAGATGCTAGTTTCAAATAACATACTAAAGTGGTAATGTTTATACGATAGATGAGGAGATGAAAGTATAGAATTGATAGTTCCGTGTGTGAAAATTGCATATAGAGAGTAGAAAGCGAACTAGGACAACTTTTTTAGGAAGGTACAAATCGGTTTAGAGATTAGGGCAATGCAAGAACCACTAGGACCTAAAACTGGCATACTTACCCTGGTTTTATTTCTAGCTTTTTTAGAAAAAAAAAATCGACTTTTTTAAAATGTAAACGTTAACATCCATAAACAGAATATTTCGTGCTGAAATCACAACATTTATAAGTATACTTACTAAAAGCACACCTAGTCAACGGAATCATCAAATCTTTGAATTGTTTACATTCAATTACATTAAATTCTCGTAATTTTCGTAATGAATCCAATGTAACTCAACTCTGTTGAAGAGACGACGAAATATTACATCTGTAAATAGGCAATATTACTGATTGATAACGGTCTCGATTTGTTTCTTATCGACTTGAAAATACTTGTTAAAAAATCCTTTGATAAGCCCCCTGTAGAGCTAGTCGAAAAAAGAATGGCCGCATTACCTTGACAATAGCGGCACCGGTGGTGTAGTGGTAAGCGTGATTACTTCTCACCCCAGCAGGCCTGGGTTCAATCCCAGTCGGCGCCGCCGGGATGTTCTGAGGCATAACATCTCTGATCACGCCTTCCTTCGGTAGGCAAGTACGCCTACCTATTCGGTACCACCCACCGAATGCATGGATGGATTTCTGTAGATGCTAAATGATACTGAAAATCAATTATCTATTGAAATTGTCAAGTTTCTTTCTGGATTTAACTACAGATCATGCTAAGAGTGGGCATTGGTTGTCAGAAAAAGTTCATTTGTTTACACCATGGCTTCACCCGAGCAAGCACGTCGCGATTCGATCCTGCACGCTCGAAACGAAAATCCCGGTCTATCCGCCCCTGGCATTTTTCTTAGTTTTGGGTTAGGCTTTTATACCTCGGTTGACCGGAAGAGTGCTCAAGAAGAATGTAAAATCAAAAAGAAGTCGAAATTCCCCAAAAAGTTCCTTGTTTGGCAAGCAATCTGTAGTAGTGGGCTGAAAAGCGCATCATTCGTTACATCTGGGACCATGAAACAGCAAATTTACGAGGAGAAGTGTCTACGAAAGAGGCTACTGGCTGGAGGGGGTATCCTATTCAACCTGTCACTACACAAATTCCACCAAACAGTGGTACAGCGAAAATGGTGTCACAGTCACAATACTCCGGAACTAACGCCAATTGAGGAATACTGGTAAACAACATACTGAAGAAAAAGGGTGGAAGTGTAATTGAACTGAAGAATTTCAAGCGGAAATGGAATTTGGTAGCCAAATAAGTGGGAACAAAAGATGATGGGCCGTGTATGAAGAAAAGTTCGAGCAATGGCCTATGGTAAGAAGGAAGACTGATGGTCTTACAATAAGCATAATACTTACTAATGTATAACTGTTACATTGATTTATGAAAAATAAAACGCATTTTTAAACCCCAACAAGATTGTCGTGTGCGGATTTTATGCAATCAATGACGTGAAAACCAAAAGGAAAAGGATTAAATCTGTTAAGCTGCAAATTTCACCCTGGGCGCGAATGTGAATATGAATGAATATCATTTAAATTTTGTAAGTCTCGTTTGTGGGACTTCTAAGTTCCATATAATTGCAGTGGGCAAAAATATCGTTGCATGGATTTATCTTATATCATCTGACATTAAATATTACTTATATTGAACAGCGAACATTTCAAGAAACCAAGCAAAGACCACCAAGCGTAACTGTTTTAGCATTTTTATTCGTCTATCTCTTTGTAGTACATCTACAACTAAATATTGTCTACTTGTCAACACTGTCTTAAATGAACTTAACCATCTGACTATGTATTTACGATTAACATGAGCATGAGTCTGTTCGAGTATCAATTTATTTAACCAACGAATTCCGCTTCCACGAAGCGCTGCCGTCTTTCTCTATTTCGTCATCCTCCGCAACCGAGGGGTGAACGGATTTCCTGATGTCATGTGCAATCAAAACAAGTACAATTTCACAAAATGAATCATTATGGCGGCATCCTAGAACCTAAATCTTCTCGATTTTTTTTTAAAGTCAATGCTTCTCGCGCTCTCTCGCTCTTTCACTGTTTTCTTTTCGGAATTTTAACGACTAATAATTTAAATAATAAACTCCTAACAAGTAAATCTGCGCAATCTAAATACATTTACATCGCGAAGCCTAGGCTCAGGTTTTACTGACTCTTGTTGGTGCTCGTCACACTTCGGGTAGTGGTCGGCGCTCCGCTCGGGGTCTGCTTCTTCTTCATCCGATGGACCATCTTGTTGATCTTTTTGAACTGTTCCTCGGTGTAGGGAGCATCCCGTTTGCTGGATGCCTTGCTGGTCAAACTGGAGCTGGAGCTGCTACCGCTTTTGGCCTTTCCACTGCTGCTGCTGCTGCCGCTGCTACTGCCACTGCCCGCGGATCTGGTGGCATGCATCCGATGGCCGGAATTTGATCGGGGCGTATTGGCGTGGTAGTTGTAGATGTGTTTGGGTTTCTGAGTGATCGCAACGATCGGTTCGGTTTCGTAGGGTGATTCAATTTCCGGTTCCGGAGATGAACCATGGCTGTGTAGGTCGTTGATCGCTTCCGGGGTCACGGGTTCGATGAAAGCCTTGTTCTCTAGGTATGGAGTCTGTGAGGGGTACACTGCCTGGTAGATGTACTGTTCCTGGTGATCGTGCTCGTGCTGATCGTGTTCTTGGTGGTGGTCCTGCTGGTGGTGGGTGGCGTATTCGGGTTGTTCTTCGGAGGCTTGCTGTAGTTGGGCCTTGATGGATTGGGATTTGTATACGACTCGGGTGTGTTTGTCACTGGGGTAGTTTTCGACCAGTTTCGGTTCCGGAAGGTAGTCTTCGGGTTCCTGGTGGAGTGGTTTATGTTGGGCATGGTACTGGGCGAAGTTTTGGTATTTGGGAGGTTGCTGGTAGTGCTCTTGATGATCGTCGTGATCGGGAGTTGGGGTGACGAAGTTAACCATGGGCTTCTGATAGACGTACTCTTCCTGTTGTTCTTCGGGGGCAGTAGGAGCTTGTTGGTGCACGTATTGGTACTGGACTTGGACTTGGGGTTGATGCTGGTGTTGGTGTTGGTGCTGAGCTACGGCTTGCGATTGATGATAGGTTTCGTACTCATAGGCTTGTTGTTCGTGTTCGGGTTCGGAAGTGCTGTGGTAGGCAACGTGAGTCGGTGTGGCGACCGGTTTGCGATAGGCTGGTTGCGTTGGTCGACTCTTAGGTGATTCGTAGTAGTGACCGTGGACAGGAATGAACTTTCCATGCCCAGCGTTGTACATCTGGACGTAGACTTCTTGTGTTTGGTAGGGATCTGGTTGACTGTACTTGGTCGGTTGAGCGTGTTGAGCTTGATGCTGATGACCATGGTGGTGTTGATGATAGTGTTGCTGATGTTGTTGTTGGTGATGTTCATGTTGCTGCTGCTGTTGTATCAGCTGTTGTTGCTGCTGTGCGATTGCGTGTTGCTGATGTTGATACTCCTGTTCCTGTATTTCTTTGTACAACTGAGCCGCTCGGACTTCCAGGTATTGCTGCAGAAGGGCTTTCAGATGTTGAGCGTATTTGGCTGGTCCAGGAATCTTCAGCACTATCGTAGGAGTATCATCCTCTTGTTCTTGCTGATGGTGGTGGTGCTGCTGCTGTTCATAGTATTGCTGTTCGCGTGTCGACTGGTGATAGCGACCGTCGGGGTACACTTGGTAGACCTCTTCGATTGGTTTCAGTTCGTAGCTGTGCGACGGTGTAATTTCAACCTCGGTGACCGTTTCCTCAGTGGAGTGCGTAGCTTTCAAGTGACCGCTATGGTGTTGGGCGTAGGGATATAACATATATTTCGGTTTAGAAAAATGATACCCTCCTTCATGTTGATTTCTGTAGTGACCATAACTAAAAGGAAAGAATTGCATTAGCTCACCAGTCAATCGAAATAATTTACTAACTAACCCCAGGTCACCGTCAATGGTTCGCTTAGTGCTTTTCGTTTCGGAGCTGTTGTCTCGTTGGACCTTGATTTTGATCTTGTTTCCTAGCTCGTTGAACTGCTTGTCGAGCTCCTTGATGAAGTCGATGTCCTCTGGCGGAAGGCCGTTGAACTCTTCGACAATGGATTTCGGTGTCTTGGTTGGCTTTACCGAGGAAGCCTTCTTGGTGGGTCGTTTCTCCGGCTTCTTTTCTCTGGTTGCGGCCGAGGTTTGCAGTGCCACCAAGGACACTAGCACCGATATCTGGCGAAATAGACGACAAGAAATTGAGTTAATCAGTGATAAGCTTGGAAAGCGAGTTGCCATGCAGCAGTATATTGTTGTGCTACCTGGTTGAATCACTTATAACCTACGATTTACGATGCATGATTTCAGCAAACGTGAACAAGTACAATTAGCGAAATTGCCTGGGAAGGAAATGGAAACCTACCGTCCGTTAAAGGCGTGCTGAAAAATTCGGTAAAAGTGCGTGAATAAGTCATGAGTTTTCGCTGGCTGCCGGCTGCATCCATTGCAGTGTCCGAATCGTTGTCAACAATGTGCTCCATCATGGTGAGAGATTTGTTATTGGCCATATCCGGTACGAAGTGTGTTTGTTTGTTGGGTGCTTATTTTGAGTTTATGAATTTTATGTTGTAGGAAGGATGACTGCATGATAAACGATTTATTAGTTTATTGTACGTTGTCTACTTTATGACTAACATGCGTTTGATTGATATGTGCTGGGGTTTACTGGGTGTGAAATTGATATTTATATTCAGTGAACAAACCGTATTTACTGCATTTGCGGACGAACAAATTATTATTTTCTAAGGGCTTCTTTGGAAACGTAATGTTAAAACGATGAAATTCTCCTGAAACCATGGAAAAATGCTCTGTTACTTCGTAGCTACACAGATTTATAGTCCTGATATTTTTAGTCAGAGGAGTGGAGTGACGGTTTCCGAATTTGTATCCGAGTTGTGTCAGTTCGTTGGAATTCTTCTTCTTCTTGGCCGTTAGTTTAGTGTTTAGATTGCGTACTAGAGTTATTTATTTTGAGCATTCCAAGCCTGTGTGTGTACACTTTACTTTGAAAAATATTTAAGTCTATTGCTGATTTGTATACAGATAGAAGATATATAGATTATTTTATGAATTACCGTATGTACTTACAGATTAAGTAATGTGGTCGCCTGAAGATTTTTTAAATAATTCTATAAATCAAATGAATTTCATAAGAAAAAGTGCCTTATCGATTCTGGGATTTACCATGTTTATTAGGGTCAGATACCTACTTAAAGAAAATTTCAATTCATATTCAGTTTTTCCTCCTTTTGTTCCATAAATTGGTATATGGCAGAAAGTTACCAATTTGCACTTATATAGAATGCATTCGACCTTATGACATTTTTAAGACTTTCCCGTATTACTGAAGCATTGTCTGCCCATTCTCTTACATTAAGACTCAAAATTATCCTTGCTTGCTTATAAGTCTTTCATTATCATGCTCTAAATAGTTAACTGAAAAAGTTGTTGAACTGCGGTAATGTAATTCAGACTCGAGTTGTTATTTTTAAATATACCGAACTATAATAAGGGACATGTTGAGTAGACAACGTGGAAGGTACGTGCAGCCTAGCTCTGGTGGTTTCAAGTTCTTACCTCACGATTCCTCGAGTTATATGATCACAATTGTGACTTAATTAAAATACTACTAGCTGGCCACAGCTGGTGGCATAGCCTGAGGATGTGATGCGAATACTGGTGGTTGTATCTATATTACGGTGATACAGAAGATTATTCGCCAATTTGAGCGTCTATTCATCATGGAGGTGCACCTTAAACAGCGTCTAACTGGCATGCAGTGGCTGAATAAGAAATGCTTATCCCCAGAAGCTACATCTAAGTTGGCAGCCTCCTCGTTTGACCTGGGTCCTGGTTAAGGTAGAAGCGTTTAGCCGCCCATGATGGAAGTTTTACACGTTGACCCTCGTTGATACATGAGTTAGTTTCTCAGCAGGTAAAGGGTGGAACGGTCAAAAATGGGTTGACTCAAATTTGGAGATTTTTTTAAATCTTGCATTTAAAAAACTACAAGAGACAGCCCTACATGGGGTTGTACGCAATGGTGACGTAGGACTACGTGGTCTTATATAAGAAATGTTATTTGTTAACTGCATCAGGAGCTTGTGTTTTGTATAGGAATAGGAATTTGAGCAGGGTTCTCTCTGTTTATACTCTTTAGTATGACTATGATTGCTCTGAAAAAAACCTTTTGATATGAGTTTTAGTTCGGAAATTTATCTCTTTTGGAAAATCCTGGTGGTCCTGAAAAGGGCCGATGGTAGTACAGGCTTACAGCCTTTGGAAGATGATGATGACGTGTAGGTAGCTGGATCAGCAAATCGGACCGGACAATCCCATATTCTTCTGTTTGATGATTGGGCACTCGCAATAGTCTCGGCCCGTTTGCTGCTGGACAGGGGTTGAACTGATGTTTGCGACACGTTTGTAGGCCGCAGAATACCAGCTAAAGCTCCTCCCCTTTTTAGTTTTTCTCGTTTTTTCTCAACAAGTTGGTGATTTAAGCCTTTAGCAGTTTAGCCTTTAGCAGAAAGACGCTTAACACTTTTTTCGGCGAATGATCCTGTTTCACGTCATGGTTCTTCTATATGCCTGTGCAGATAAATTAGTACTTATATTTATTTTCTCTACTGCGCTAAATCAAACGAGTAGAAATACGGAGGTATGTCGGTTACGCGCTCAAATAATTGAAAATTTGATAAATATTAAATCGACTAGCTGGAAAAATCATTACGATTAATCGTTAATGGAATAATTAGACTTTTAGGCATCCCTATAAAATAGTGTAATTTCATGTTTTTGGTGGTCCTTCCAAAATGTCGAACAGCAGAATTGCAACCCACAAATGTAGCCCATTCCTAGTTGAACACTCAGTCGGTTAACAACGTCCCGGTCTCAGTCGCGCGGCATCTAGTTTTTTTCGGTGTTTTTTCCGCCCGAGCGGTTTTTTCACCCCCCCCATTGGGTGCCCCAAGTGACCAGTGTGCAACAGAGGAAGTGGAATTCCATGGGCCGAGCCCCTTGGAGTTGCCATCCAGCTTTAATCCACCCCGGTAATCCATCCGGTCGTCAAGCCATTTTTTCATCATCGTGCCGACCCACCAACACCAATCATCACCACCAGCAGCAGCAAACGGACCATCTAGCTGCAACGGCTGATAGGTTGTTTACAACCGGCATAAGTATTAGACAATACATTTTGCAAGTCCATTGCCTCCCTATTGTAGTTTAATTTTGCCTCGTGGCGCGTGACTCTGTCTCTCACCCCTGGTAGGGGAGTATGGGTCATAGTGAGACAAATTTTTGCAAGTAGATATAAGTTTTTTTTTTTTTTTTCGATTTTTTTTTTCTTTTTGATTTGTTCGTACGTCGGGCAAAAAATTTAATTACTAGTAATTAAAATTAATTAATTAGTGAAGGTTTTATTTTTTTTTCCTTCTTAAGTGGTTGCGCACCGCTTTTGCGCAACACTTATGGCATCTTCCGATGCCTACGTTACGCGAACCAGATACTATGAACCGTCTTCGAAAGGACCATGGGTTGTCTTTTTTCGGCCCAAAAATAAACCTTTGAAAACTCTCGACATAACGAGAGATTTGCTGCGTAAGTATCCGGGAATCTTGGTACACAAAGAAAGATTCAACAAACTGCGTGTAGAAGCACCGACTTATGATGTGGCAAATAAAATTGCTGATCACGAGTTGTTTAGTGTTGAGTACAACATCTACATCCCTTCTCGAGATGTGGAGATAGAAGGCGTGGTCTCCGACGCGAGTCTGACTGTCGAGGACTTGAAACATGCCTCGGGAACTTTTAAAAACTCGACATTCGCTACCGCGCTAGTGAAGATACTGGATGTAAGGCAACTGCATTCAGCATCTTTGCTAGACGGTAAAAAAGTTTATAAACATTCAGACTCGTTCCGGGTGACTTTCGCAGGTTCAGTTCTCCCAAACTTTGTTAAAATTGATGGTGCTTTTTTTCCGGTGCGACTGTTTGTACAGAGGGTATATAATTGTACCAACTGCAAAAGGCTGGGACACTCGGCCAGCCATTGCGGCAACAAAACTCGTTGTGGCAAATGTGGTGAAAACCACAAAGAGGATTCTTGCCACAAAGAATCAGTAAAATGCGCTTACTGTGGCGAGAATCCTCACCCCTTGCAGGAGTGCCCGATGTACAAACAGCACTCCGATAAAGTGCAGCGTTCAATCTCTGGACGCTCCAAGCAGACATATGCTCAAATGTTGAAGGCTGCATCAGCCGTCCAAGATGCAAACCAATTTTCGGTTTTGTCAGTTGAAGAATCGGACTCTGACTCATCCGATGAAGGTGATTCTACGGTGGTACACGCACCTTCAAAAATAGACGGTTCCTCAAAAAGAAAATGCCCCTCTCCGAAAGTGCGCCGTAAGAAAACTAAAGTCACCTCCAGACGATTGCCAAATTCCCAGGGTAATGGGGATGAAAAAACAAAACCGAAGGCTCCTGTTGATCCAATCCCTGGATGCAGCAAGAATTTTCCGCCATTGCCCAACAAAGATAAAAAAAATAAAAAAGCTGCTCCTCAAACTTCTCAAAAGAAATCCAAGTCCGAACGAGGTTTGCTAGCTTTTTCGGACATTGTGGAATTCATATTAAACATGTTCAACATACAAGACCCTCTAAGAAGCTTAGTTTCTGCCTTGCTTCCAACGTTAGAATCATATCTTAAGCAATTGACTGTTTCATGGCCCCTCCTTGCATCAATCATATCTTTCGATGGATAATTCGTCGAACGAGGTTGAAGATATGATCACTGTGCTACAGTGGAACTGCCGTAGTCTAGTGCCTAAACTAGACTCGTTCAAATTTTTACTTCACAATTCTGATTGTGATATATTTGCTCTCTGTGAAACATGGCTTTCTTCCGATAAAGAACTCAACTTCCACGATTTTAACATTATACGCCTGGATAGAGACGATTCTTATGGAGGAGTACTTTTAGGGATCAAAAAGTGCTACCCTTTCTACAAAATTTCCCTTCCTGCTCTATCCGGCGTCGAAATCGTTGCTTGCCAAATAAATGTGAAGAACAAAGATCTTTGCAAAGCTTCAGTATACGTTCCACCAAGAACCTCCATTAGCCGTAGTCAACTCTGGAATCTAGTTTCGATTCTTCCATCCCCAGTATTAAT